TAGTCACAACTGGATTCAACAAGATATGAAGACAGCATTTATAAATGCTGACACTGATGAAGCTTGTTTAGTTGATGACCTATACTAAATTGCAGTCAGGATTTGATGGATTTGAATAGAGGAAACACCTTAAAATAGGAAAGGGAAAGAGTTTGAGGAAGTGTTTCTTTACCCAAAGAGCAGGGAGTGCTTTCTTCTACTTTCCCCAGCTCTGACCTTGTTTGTTCTGATGAAGCAGCTGCTGTAGTACCAACTCTTTAACTGAAACTCATATCAAGCTGCTGCCCTGGCTTCTTATTCGTCTTGAACACTTGGCTTAGAGCTTCACATCCATGAAATGAAGGAAAAGCACCAGGAAGTTTCCCCTTAATTTAGGGAGCAACATGCCTCTATCTTAGGTATTCTTCAGGGAGGAAGTTGATGGTACCCAGTGACATCTTGTTCTCAGTTGGGGATTATTAAAATGTACAGCTGACTCTTGGGAATTCTTTCTAGATGTTATTATAGGGCAACATCTATGTTACAGCTAGTGCTGTATGCAGAATCTGTTTGGCTTGAACAGCTCTAGTTCTACTGCTTTCAGACAGCAAGCTTGACTTTGTAGGAGGCTTCCCTTCAAATGTGATTTCTGTTTGGGGAAAGTTTTTGTGGAAATTGAGTAAGATTATAATGTCATTCTACTTTAAAACTCAAATGGCACTGATTCAACAAACGCTGTAAGACACTAAAGAGGCAATTTTGAAGGGCTGAATGAATATCTGGCAAGTGTCTGTCTCAGTTGAAGCTTGTAATCCGCTTTGGTTATTGCAATATTGCATTGTAAGCTCTTGGGCTAGAAAAGGTCAACAGTTCTAGAAAGATTGGATAGCTAAAAATCTGAGTTAGTGTCAGACAATGACAAAATTAAACAGAACTGTAATTAGTCACTTGCATTTGCTTAATTCCCCATTCCTTCCCTTGGCTGATTTATTTACTGGTTTATTCACTTATGCTAGGGAAAACTGCCTTTCTAGATTTCAGATCATCTTTGCATTCTTAAGCCTCTGATGTTACAGTAACTCTAATGATGGGCAAGCCCCAGGTTATCCACAGGACCAAACAGCATGGGCTGTTCTTGACTGGAGTATGAGGATTGTGCCTAGAATCTGCAAACTGGAAATGTTTTGGCTTTTGTCCTTGCTTGTGTGGTTGGTTGACCTTGCCCAGCTGCCAGAGCCCTCCTCACTTCCTCCTGTGCTCCAGCATGTTTTTTTCTTAGAGACTTCAATCTTCCAGAAAAAATCGGCTCCATCATGGGCTCTCCATGAGCTGCAGCTTGCTTCAGAAAATGTTGACCTGCTCTGCTATGGCATCCTTTCCAGGGGCTGCAGGGCAATACCTGCTCCTCCATGTTTTTCTGTGAGCTGACGTTCTGAGAGGAATGTCTACTTTGGTATCCAGAGCACCTCCTCCACTGATCTTGATTGTGCTGTGGCTTCTCACTTCCTGCCCTGCTCTCCATGCCATGTTTAAAGGACATTTTGCCCAGTACAGGTGGTCAGACAAGGTTCTACGGTGTGAGTTAGCATTGCTGCTTCTGCAAGGCTGCCTTGGATTGCAAAGCTCCCAGCAGAGTTAGCAGTGGCTTTCCCGTGCTTCTGATAGTACACCAACATGGAGTTCACACATCAGTCAAACAGGTTGTGCCTTGAAGTCACCTGCTTCAATCCTTCAAGGCAGTGTGGGTGTCTAGGAGAGGCTCCATGTGGTTTTGGTGTGAAAGGTGACAATACACCTAAGCAATATCAGAGAAGACGTGGCCTAGCCTGAGTTCTGCTCTGTGCTTTTAATTTTTGAAGATGTAGCCTCAAATTGACTGAGTACTTTCAAGTTCTGTTCCCATATGAATGTAGATTTCAGGTTGATTGTGTTTCTCTGTTTTTTCCACATGAGTGCCTTTACCTCTAGAGTAAAGAGCGGTGCAGTTCTGTACAATTTGCAAACAGCTGCTTTGCAAGGCATGTGTGTGACTTATGGGGGGTGACTTTTTATAGTAAGGAAGGGGAAAGCCTGATCACCTTTAAGTTCTTTGGGGTTCTAGCTTCTACACACTACAGGAGTTTCAGATCATGGAATATAGATGCAGGTTCTCTGGCAGTGAGCTGAGTGCTGAATCCCACATGAAGTCAAGCACCTACATGCTATTAATTCCTGGCTCTGTGAAGAGCCTTGGAAAATTTTGATGTGGCAGGGCTGTCACATCCAAATGTAAGGACTGGCTTTTCATCTTCCCCATTTGCAAGGTGAAGAGACCACACAGTTAATGCTAAGTGCTATAACTGGGACTGGTACTGAATAATTATGAAAAAGGACTGCCAAATATTGTATCTCCTGACAAACTTGGACCTGAGAAACTTAGAGAAGCTGGTCATTTTGGTCGCCAACAATCTCCAAACAGGATAGAAATGTTTTTAAGTTTCCAGAATCTGTCAACTTTTGTAATTTTGATCTGAGGGTTTAAGCCTTTACCAAACAAAAGCCCCATGAAGACTAAGCTACTGCAGTAGTTCACACACACTTACTGAGCTTACACTTTAAAGTACTAATGAAACCCTATAACTTTACTTGTGTCCTTTTGGCGAGATATAGTGGAAAGCACAAACTTTAAGTAAAATGTAGTAATTAAAAAAAAAAAAGAGAAAAAAGATCCTAGCTATTCAAGTACCACTGCTTGAGTTAAGATTGTTGGCATTTAAGTACAACATGCCACAAGTTTAGTTGGGTACTCTAAAGCTGTAACAGCCTTGTGGTCGCAGGTTGTTTTTCTGCCCATAAAGTCATTTATGCTGCATCCATTCTGTGGTCTGTATTTCCAGGCATGGAAACATGTCCAGGCATGTTTTCTGATCCCTGGCTAAGTGTTGAATATGTTGCTTTGGCCTGCTGTGAATTACAGCCAGACAACTGCTGTGGCTGAACTGACCAATTTTGTCTGTCAGTTATATGGCTGGAGTTGGATTTAGTCACTTGTCTGGGTGGTCAAGTCCGGACAAAGAATAGCTACTGAGGGTGGTCTAGACACCTCTAGCCTCCTGGTTGAAGGGCTGACATATTGTGGAATGGGAACAGCTTTTAGTGTGTAGAGCTCTTATGATACTGCAGTTGCTGACAGCCAGTCTGTGCTGGCTGTAGGGATGGACCATGCTGAAAACTGGCTCTTTGTTTCTACTGGCTTAGCACCTCTAGTTATCAGGCAATTTAAAACACTTGGAAGTGCTTCAGGTGTTTGTTCTGTGCCATATACTAGTGAATTAAATAAAGTTAACTTTTGAAATAGCTTCTAAAAGCACAGTAATTAAAAAAAAATCCATGGCTGCTTACAGCTTTTATCTTTGGGAGACTGGACACTCAGTTTAGTGACAGTAGGTGCATTTGTCCTGTTTCAGAAACCCAGCGTCTTCATTGTTCTTAAAGACTAATTTATTAACTCATCCCACCATCCATATGCTTGTACATCACTGGATTGGAGATGCTGGTTCAGTGGTAGTACCTGGTATTTGGCTCTAAGGAAGAGGCAGGGTGTAACTTAGGAATAGTTAAGTGCACCAGCCGAAGTCTGGATGTGCTAGTTATGAACTTTAATGCTGTCCTATTATATAACTCCTATGGAAAAAGGATTTTATCTGAGGTTCTGCTGCAAGTTAAAGATAAAACACTGCTTTCCTTTCCTGTACTCTGAGGAGCTATACTGATACAGTTATGCTTCTTACCCTCTGTTCAGAGTAATGAGTTCCAATTTTTTTAAAATTTTTCTTCTGTTTGTAATACAAAGTTCTTCTTGCTGGCTCCTTAGAGAAAAAAATGACTTGTGTGTGCTCACCATGAGTTGATAGCTGAGAATAGGAACAAATGTTAATGTCTACTAAAATCATAGTAACCCCCTAGTCCACTCAGATTTGTGTTAAAAGTTGCAGTGTTCTGTTATGATGTTCCAGCCAAGTGTTACATGCATGAGACATAACTTCCAACAAAGTGTAAGACAAACTATTTCTTTAGCCTTTTGAAAGTTCATAGGCTAAGGCTCCATGTGGAACTTGTTGAACAGAGAGGATTTATCCTCCCCTCACCATGCATAGGGTCTGTGTCTCAAAGCAAGAGGAGATTTGCTAATGTGCAGTGATGAAGACGAGCTCAGTGAGAGACTATTTAAGGGTGTCTTGGTTGACTTTAGTTGGAGACTCTACTTTTGTCACAGGCACACTTTGCTGGTGTCCTGTGCTGGTGAAACTTCCTATCTGTGCTGCACCTAGTGTAGGTCTAATGGAACACAGGGCTGTCTACAAGAGTTTATCTTCTATAAGAAAACTATCCATCTCTCCAGCAAAGATCCGGGGTGACTCGTATATCCCAGCCTTGGCTTTGTAATTAGTTTTATCCTGCCACTTGTTTGGAAGCTTTTCCTGCAAACCTAGTATAGTGGTTGGTGGATAGATCCAGATTGTTTATGTGCACTTTTGAACCCTGCAAGGATGCCCACCTTTGCCAGCAACTGTAGAATACACATCTGTGATCTGATAAGGATATTGCCTGGACTTCATGAAGCTGGGTTATGACCTGGAGGTGCTTTGAACTGGCATATGTGGTCATGTTGTACTTCCACTTAGTGAACTGCACAGTGGGATTGTATCACACTCGTTATGACACTGCTGTGTGCTGCCCTGGGCAAGCTGGTTTCAAATTGAATGTGGAACAGCACTTGAGGGGATGATGTGGCTCCTCAGGTCATGGAAGAGTTATCCACAGTGCACTAGGAACTGAATTTTCAAGAGGTGCTGGTGGATTTGGCCCCATATGTACCCCAAAAGTCTTTGTCTGAATAGGGAAAGGAAACCAAGCCCTCAGGTGTGATGAACTAGATCTAGCCTAGCAAGGGCATGCTATTGATTTAGGCTCTTAACATCTACATTCTTTCTGCTGTTAAGTCCTATGGCCAACCTGTGCAAAGCTCTTGATAGCTCCTTTTTATTTTCCATTGTCGAATATTTAAGTACTTCCTCGAAATAGAATAGTGAGATGATTCTGGTGAGTGCAGGGCTTCTCTGTTCATCTGCTACTTGTTAAATGTGAATGCAGGATTGTCAGTTTTCTTCAGTTCTTCTTGTTTAGGTTTGCAGTATGGAAAAGTGGAAATCTGTCGTGGCTGTAAACACAGTATGTTAAAATATTGTCTGCAAGCATGAACAAGGCCACTGATGGAAATGAGGGAAGTAGATCTGGAATTTGTAGCAATGTTGAATTTAGCCTGGAAAAAAAGAAGAGATTATTGCTGTCTGCTGATGAGGCAGAGACTGCTCAGAAATCTTTTCTGCTTTCTAAATTACCAAGGAACTTGAAATCAGATGGCAAAAACTTGACCAATGTACACAGCGGTGTGTCAGGGTGGGAGTATATGGGTTGATGTGATTTGTGGCTCAGTTAGGTGAATTGGCTGATTCCTAAGGCTGAAACCTTGCATGGAGGCAGTTATGAGGACTGTGGGATGTTTTTCATGTGGTTCTAGGCATTAACCCCGTGTAGAGGGAGCTGATAGGAAAGTCTGCGTTCCCTATGAAGCAGAGGGCTTTATAGGCCAGGTGTGTCCCTCGCCCAGAATCCTGCCCTCTCGTGGCCCTGGCAGTGCAGGAAAGGCTGCCTAGTGCCCCGGGGCACCAGCCTTGGGCAGGATGAGGGAGCTGGATGGGGTGTGCTGAGCACAGCTGAGCTCTAGTGATGGCAGAGAGATGTGAGGAAGAACCATGGAAATCATCCAGGAGACACTTCCCAAGCTGAATTATTAAATATTATGGGATACCATCCAGATGCAAGATCTGGGGGTACTCATGTGTTTTTAGTCTGAGAATAAACCCTTTCTGAGAGGAGCCCACTGTGGAAGAGTGGCAGCATTCCCTTCTCTAAGAGCCTGGAGGTTTGAGCAAAGAATCAGGTACTTTGATGGTAAAATGGAAAGCTAGCCAAGACAGAATTTCAGAATCACACAATGCAGAACTGCATCAGCAGTGTGGTAAAACCTGTTTTACCTCAGAATGTGTAGATTAAATGCACATCACTTTATTTACAGTGCCATGGAAGACTGTACAGGCTTGGGAACTTGGAGCAGTTGGAGGTGTGTATGTGCTAGTTAGCTACAGGTGTGGTCTCCTAACCTTTAGGTTAATCTCCTGAAGGAACTGCTTAGCTTTGAATACTGTTGCCTGTGTGCTCTCTAACACATTTTTGTTCTTTTGAAGAATGAAACTTAGGATGTTCAGTATTTGTGTGGCTATAGAAGGTTAAAAGGTGTTTGGTTGCATAATTGGCTGTCTGTACTTGTTTACTACCAAGAAGGAAAACTGGTATGTGCCTTGACTTTCCAAGATCAAAACTGCTTGCAAGACACTGCCTTTAAATCTAATCTTTAAATTTTCTGTGGCTTCTAGTCATGATGTATTAGTTCAACTTTCAGCATGCTGTTGGTGAAAGTTAATTAGATGCTTTGAATCCACTTGAATAGTTTGCCTGACCAATAATATAATTAATTGACCATTTGTGCCATTTAGAAGGTGTAGGCATTGGTATGCAGCATACTGATAAGGTATCTCAGAGATGGCCTTCTTGCATGCCTAGTTATAAAGTGCTTTGAACTGGAAATTGAGCAATTACTTCTGGAAGCAACTGAAAAAGGCAAGTGGAAGTTGTAGCTGGATGATAGTACTGAATGAACAAAGATTGGGTTATGCATCTGGCTTTTGAAGACAGTCTCAAGTCCCATCAGTGTGCTTTTTGGATGAGAGGATCTCTGTTCCGGTAATTTGCTCGGATTGTTTTAAGTTGGACAACTCCTGAATGGCTTCAGCATGGTGAAAAGCTGAGCCTAAAATGCAGTAAGACTTGTATTTTCTCTTTAGATTTTGTTCTTTGAGTTGGTTTTCCTCCAGTGTGTTATGGCTTTGTACCAAGAATTGAAGGATTTGAACTCACTAGGCTTAGGATCTTTACTCTTCTTAGCAAGCCTGTGATTTACTTCATTGAAATTTGTTTTAAGGGTACCTTGTCCTATACTAATACAGTGGGTGTGTAATTGCCAAAATACACACTTGATGCTTATTTTTTCTGTTCAGTGATTTGTTTACTTCAGTAGTAAGAGAATAAAGTTGAACAAACTCTGTGTGGTGTCTTTTTCCCATCAAGCCAACTGTAGCTTTGCATTTCCTAGTTACAAAGAATCTAAACTAACGTGCCATGTAGTGCTTCTGCAGGGATGGGGCTGGATGACTGAGGAGTTAAAGCAGATGCTGACTACATCATTCTGTACAACATAGGCTTGTCCAAATAAGCAATAGGTGAAGATAGAAGCTGATCAGACTTCTGCTCAAGTCTAGTAACTGAATTTAGCAGGTGAGAAAATCCTTTATGGCTCTCAATCACTCTTTCAGTAGATCTTTGCTCCAGTAATTAAGTGTTGAATTGGAACTGTTCAGCTTCTGGTTTTATCGTGTATACTACACTTGATTATGGTTGTGTGGCTGCATTAATCCAGCCAACCCTGTTTGATACTGAGCTTTGTGGACATTCCTATGCTGGATGGGGAATACTGAGATGGCAAAACTGTTCCTGAAGCAGCCATGCAACATCCGTAGCCTCTTTGAGAAGTTGGGTGCATCTGCCAAAGCCTGTAACTGGCAGTCTCTCACAAAGGTACGTGCCCGATGTGATATTCTTAACGTTGGGCTTGTCAGCAGCTGAGTGGATTTCTTTGTGAAAGGGAATGATGTCAACAGTACTCCTACTTGATCTTCTCTTCCTGCATAAGTCTACTAAGGTGCATTGTCAACAGTGTGTATATTGTGCCAAAAAGTTGTAGAGTGGGAGCGATCCAAAGGAATTGCCTTGAAAGTTTTCAGGTATAACCTATACAATTGTGAGCCATCTTGAGAATTAAATGCCACATCAGACTGGGTACTTTTTCTGTTCTTGTCTACCCCTTTTAGATTGAGAATTTGAAAAAGGTCCTTGCCTTTTTGAACGTGCTTCCCCATTGCTTGTTTTGGGATGCTTTACTCTATTTCTCTTACTAGTTAAGTGGATAACAGTTTATTTTTTCTTTTGCAGAGGAACTACCATGTGTTTCTAGACTTAGAGCTGAAGGGAAGTGCCATCACTGGAAGCAAAACCAAACTCATCCTTCACTGCTTCTCTCAGTGCTTTGTATCCCACAGGTTATTTAGGTGATGGGAAAGGAGAGCATCTGGATCTTCTGTGTTGTGCTAATCTCAAAGGGTAGTGCTTTGAGATCCTAAATGATTCTTGGCTCTGCTGTAGTTGTGTTGGTTCCCTGTTTACACTTAGTTTGCCCCAAAGGTGGGAAAGAGAAGGCAGGAATGTCAAGTATCTTCAACTTGTCAGAGGATGTGATTAGGTAACTTAAGAGGATTTTTCAAGTCTTTTCAAACAATGAGCAAATATGTCAAATGTGATGGAAAGCTCCAGAGTCTTAAATGGATGCTCTAAGTGTCTTTGTCAAAATTGGAGCATCAGGATAGTGTTGAAATTCTAGTTTTGAGCAGTCCCCTTTGATGGGGAAGGTACCAACTGCTGTCGGAAGGGCAAGCAGGCTGTTTCAGCTTGGTGAAGGAATAACTTGCCTCTCTACCAATAAGAGTTAATATTTTATGTTTTTTGGCCGCATAGTCACTCAACTGGACTGACTCTAGCTTTGCTACCGTTGGTTCCTTTTTGTATATTTCTACCTAGCCTTTCCTTGACAGATAAAAAAACGAGGACAGTACACAGTGGTAATCTGTCTTGTCCACAGTGCAATACTCACGTGGGAATATAAGAGAACAGTGATAGGTTTTTTGTTAACCCTCACTCTTGAAGGGTATTGGCTGTACAGGTTAAGTTAAAGCAATAGCACTGCTTTGTTCCCTGCTGTCCAGTGTTACCCTCTTATTTCCTATGTTAGACACTCAGGCTGAATGACCAAATGCTTCCCTGTAGTTCAAACACTGCACATAAAAAAGCCACAGCTGTAATTGCTCAGAGGTAGGAGAAAAGAGCTCTGAGGTGTAAGGAGTTAACTACGTGCTACACCTGACTACAGTGCTGCATTATCTGCTCTTTTCTTGGATGTGCTTTTGGTAAGTAACTATGAACATGACTGGAGGCTGAGAGAGAATAGCTTTCCAGGCATTAAATACCTGAAGAATGGTAGTAGATTGTACTCTTTTATCTCTTCTTTTGTGAATTTTGTGAATTTGAGTGAGTTACCGTCTCTAAGCTTTTCACCTAGAGTGGGATAATGCCTGCCTTACAGGTATGTGTCAGAACCCTTTTCCTAGTAAATATGCTGTAGTCCACAGATAAAAGAAATTTTAGAAGTGCAAAACCTCTGAAGCTGCACAGCATGTGTATAATATATCCCCATTAAACAGCTGTTTGGCAATGTCTAATGCAATTTCCAGTTAATGAGGGATGTTTTAAACTGTTTTATTTTACAAGTTGACTTTATTTCATAAGAGTCAGCCAAGTATGTATCCTGTTGCATTTGATGGGATCCTAGTTATTCCTAAGCAGGACCTCAAATTATTCTTGTTTGACTGATGTACAACACATAAGAGAATTCCTGCCTGAAAGCTCAAACAAGAGCAAAAAAATGTTTAGGGTGTTTTTGTGTCTGTTGGCTTGGGAACTGCAGAGGAGAAATTCTTCCAGTCTCATTCCTGCAGTCTGGTAAATCCTGTAATAAGATATACTAGGGGGTCTGGTTTGTCCTCACTTCAAATTTAGGAGCCAGGAGTGTTTTCAGTAGGAAAAACTGCTCCTCCACATAATCACAAAAGCATCTCGTGCTTTCTAATAAATCTGAACTTGATAAAATGCTGATGTAAGTGAGCACAGTCCTTTGTAATTTAGAGAGAAAATGAAGATTATTGCCCAGGCATTTTGCTGCTAGAAATGCATGTCAGGGAGTGAAGGGTGGTGTCTGAGAGAACTGGAGGACAGGTATCCACTGAAGCCACTGGCTGTTGGGAAAGGGAGACGGGTTTGAGGGTGAGAAGAATGAGGAGGGGATCATATCTGGTGCATAAAGCTTTGCCTACAGGCAGTCCCACGCTGGTGCCTTGAGGCTGGTTTTCAGCCTCTGAAATAGCAATGCCTTGGAGTGGAAGCATAGATAGATGGCTGGCTGTCCCTCCTGGTTTCTTCTGGAGCATGCTACTGAGAGCACCGTTTCCACTGCATGAGTGTACAACAGTGCTCTTTGACTCAGAGGTGCTGGTTAGTCAAGGGACAGGATAATATTGTGGAGTTTGCCCTTCCCCTCCATGCCACAGAGCCCCAGTGCAAGGAGTAGGCTTGCTGAGTGGCAGGAGATGACTTGGCCATCCTGTCTGGATGATGCTGCTTGGAGGCTACCAGCTGAAGAGTCCTGGCAAGTTATTATGCCTGAGATGGCAGTAGTCTCTCACTATTTTCTGTAATCCTCAGTTATTTTGGGCTACCTATTTATAGACATTGTCTGAAACAGAATTCATGCTAATTGATGTATTGATTTGCTGCAGAAGGATATGCTTGCTTTGTTAGAATTCCTACAGAGGGGAAGAAGTTAAGAGCTAGAAGAGAGATACTATCTGTGAGCTGCCTTGGCACTAGATGTGCTGTCCTCACTGCACATCTAAAACATCTCAGAAGGAAAAAGGTTTATTTTTGGCCTTGTTTCCTCTTTATTGTAAAATGCAGGAGTCTAAATCTTAAAAGATTGTGGACAAGGCCTTGGACTGAGACTCGAGCAGATAGAGATCACTGCTGATAAACCCTATTTGGGTTGGCTAGAGATGAGTTGTTAAAAAACCCTTTGCAGTGGGCATTGTTTGGAAAACCTCATACAGTCTTGGTAAAGATCTTCACAGTTGAATTCTGTGACTCTTTTACTGGGATTTTTGTTTGACCCCTTCCTTGGCCATTTTGCCTGTTGACCTTTAAATCTCTCCCAATATCTTTGCTGATGTTCAGTTTGTTTTTGCTGCAAGTTCTCTTTACAGAGAGTTCTCTTTACTTTTTTTTTGATAATTTTTCCCTAAATGCAGAATTGTAGCTCCTTGCCATTGTAGGCTTGGGGTACCAAGTTGGTGCCACATATTGTCACCATATAAAACAATTCTTAAGACAGTATGAAGTTACAGGATTTCTCTTGTGAGAATTTTTTTTTCTGATTTATTAACAGTTTAATTTCATTAAAAATAGATAACTTACCTTTCTCAGGCAACATTTCTCCACTCTTCTTGGGAGCGAGAACCTAAGCATAGCAAGCTGAAGAGGTCAGTGGACTTGAAAATCCCAATTCCATGTGGTTGGGACACAGATATTCTTCCAGCACCTGAACCCAGTGCAGACAGTTTAGCTGGTGGGAGGAATTCTAGGGGTTAGTGAATGTTTCTGCTCATGTTGACTGTAAAAATAAGTTCCCTCACAAACAAGCTGTTGAAAAAACCTCAAGCTGATTCCTTTATTAAAAAGGCACACAACAAGAAGAAACTTAGGGAGTTGTCCCATTCAACTACTGTCCAACCATTGACCTACTGTTTTCTGACTACTAGTTGAATTCTTTGATATGACTCTACAAAAATGAAAGTAACTTCTGCATTTGGAGAAATATCCTTTGCATATATGGACATTGCATAAAGGTAATAGAAATACGTAGGTGAGTAGTCAGAATGTCTGTGAAGAAAGTTATTGTAGGAGCTTATCAAGCTTATTAGGTACCTCAAAACAGACCTTAAGTGATATTTCTGCACTGAAGGTGTGGTATTTATTTGTGAGGGACAGTTTGCTGTGGCTCTAGCAGCCTGTATTCCAGTTAGTGAAACTTGTGTGAATGCAAAAAGCAGTGTGTTCGGGATTGTGGCGCTGCTGCTTTTGAGGGGCTGGTGCTGATCAAAGGGGTGGAAGAATATCTGATTTTTGGTGCTCATGGGGAGAAGAATGATTGGAATAAGCCTGAAAGGGGTAAACTTTATCAGAAAATACTGTTATGCTGGGGAAATGATTTTAAGTAGAAAATGGAGTGAGATGCTCAGAGACAAGGTGACAAGTCTTAAGTCAACAAGCCAGCTAGAGTGAACCTGCCAGGCAGGTCCCTAATTATAGATTGCCTGCATTAATCCATTATGGCACAAGTCCATTTGGGGGGCCATTGCTATGGATGTTCACTCCCTGTTTTGAGGAATCCTGGCTAAGTACTGAGAAGAAGATGAGCAGTTCCAGTATCTAGTTATGAATCTATCACATGGCACTGCTATGAGGAATGGTGCTTCTCCAAACCAGTAACAATCTCCTTCTGCCTGAACTGTTTAATACTAGTGGGAAGAAGTTTGTCTGAAAACAGTGTTTGTCATGGGCTGCCTCTGCTGCTAAACATGACTTATGCTTGTAGAAAAAAGATGAGGAAAGAATAGGATGGGGTTGTCTTTCATATGTACTTACTATGTGCCTAATAATTTGACCAATAATTTGGGTTAATTGCTACCCAAATTATACTAAATGTAAAATTTTGCAAGGGCAGGCCAGGTGATTTATGCATCCTCCTATAAGAGCAATCTCCTGATTCTGAGCTAAAAAGGAGTCTTTTGGTTCTTTTTCCTTGCAGAGCATTGTTTTGGTGAAAGTACACTATTTCTGTCTCTTTGAGTTGATGTGAATGCTGGACAAGAGTGCTTTTCTGTAAAATAAGAGCTTCTGCCATTTCACAGAATTGTCAGGTTCTTGAACTTTCCTGGGAAAGCAACAGAAAAGAAATCATCTTCTAACAAAAATCTCATCTCTAAATTCACATTATGCTGAGTTTCTGTGTGATTGCTGTTTTCATTCCTTGGTTTGGTCTCTTCCCAGTTCCAGCTAAGCCTCTTTTTATTAGTACTTAGTCATCTGAAGCACTACACACCTTCAGTTCCACACATGCCAGTTCAGAGAACTGACTTGAAGAAAAATGTTTGGGGCAAGTGTTATCACAAGGTGACCTGTGTTTTGAGACCAGGCACTCCAGCTTTGCTTTGTGCTCTTCAGCAGTTCATTCAATAACAGGCTTTTAAGGATTCATACTTATATTCTGGCACTTCTGTAAAAGCTTCTTTCTGTGCTCAAGGATATATTCAGGCTTTCTCATGAAAGTTAACTCATAGAAATAGTCCATTTTTTGAGTGGAAACCTGGGGTTTATCTAATTTAGAGGACTTTACGGGATTCCATTTTAAGAAAAATTCTCAGATGAAGATACCTCTCTGATGTAGTCCTCATGCTCTGTAATGCAATCTACTTCTGGGTATGAACATGGGGAATGGTGAAAAAAAGCAAGGGATATAAATTTGTATTGTAGCCAAAAGCTGCTGTCAACCTCTTTGCATGCAAATTTCAGACTTTCCTCCTTTATACCTTGCTCACAGGTGTTCAAAATTTGGCTCTGGTTTTACCTCCTAAAATGTTCCCTCCTTTTTACCTAGGGGTTAATGATGACTAAATTTTCTTGCAAACTTTTTTCTAAGAAGTTTGTGTTGGGCTCTGCTTACTAAAGAGGGAATTCCAGTGAGGGAGGGAGAGGGAAGAAGGAAGCTCCTTGGCCAAGCCTTCACAGACAGACTTGGAAATTGTCATAAATCCTAGTCCCGTGTGAGTCCTAATGTACTTGTGCTCTTAGCAGGCTCTGGTGCCACAGGATGAAGCTAGCTGGATCCAGAGAGTGGAGTCTCTACAGGACAGCTTAATATTGTTTCCTGATGGTTTGTATTTTCTTTAGGATAATTCAGGTTTGTGTTTTTTTCATGTTGCTTTTATTAGGTAATGCTAATACTTTCTTGACACTGTCTTGATATCCAGGTGTAACTGTAGTGGAGTGCTTCTAAAAATCCTTGCAAGAAACTAAGCTACTGATTCACTGCCCTGTAGCCAACAACTCTGTCATCCAGGGGCTCATTAATAATCAGAAGCTAGGCTACACTTACCTTTCTCTCTCACTGAAAACAAATAGGAGTAAAATCTCAGATTTCAAGATCTAAAACTTGTCATCTGCCTTGATTGATGAAAACCACACCAACACTGAACAGACTTATTTCTCTGTAGTCTGGAGTCAGAAGTCCTGGAAAACAAAGGGATATGGTGGTACTTGAGCTGTAACCAGTAACAGAGGGTTGGGGATTGAAATAGTATCCAGTGATAGAGCTGAGTTATTGAGTACAATTAGGGCTTTTGAGGGACTGGGTAATAACTTCCTCCTCTTATTTGAATTCTAAATGAGAAGCTGGCTAGTGAAATTTTTTTGGTTTGTAACTGTAACCAGGAGGAGAGAGAGGTCTAGGATGCTGCAGAAGTTCAGATGAAAGTAGAGGATCTGGAACAGTGATGAGGGAGAGAAGTCAACTGACAGCCTGGCATGCAAATAAACCTGGGGAGAAGATGCTTGGTGCAGGAGCTGGTAACAGTGTTTGTATATGTAAGATGTTAATGTAGTTGCTAGGGGAAAATGTCTTTCCAGAGTCACGTACAGAGTGGCCTTTCTGTGTGAGAGCTGGCAGACTTCAGCTGGGAGGAACAGAGATGACTCTTTTTGATTTTAATAGTTTCCCTAAAGGTTTCAGTGTTTTCCAGTTAGGTGCAGAAAGAGAACAGATGAAATGTGTAAGACCTGTCTGAATCTTAAAAGGATTGGAATTAAAAAGGAGCAAAGACAAAGTGTGAGCAAGTAAGAGTGAGAAGGGGGGAGTGTTTAGTTACAAAGACATTTGAGGGAAGAAATGCCTGGAGCAAACAGTCGCAGCAAAATCATGATTGACAAGGATAAGTAACTTGGAATCTTTACTAGTACCTACATCTTTATGGTCCAGGAAATCTTATAGCAAGGCCAGACACACAGCCATTTCTCATGCACTCATTAAACCAATTTAAATGAAACCGTCACTCCAAGTTCTTAAACTCAGATATTCTTTCCTTGGGTCACAGTTGACCTGAACTGACATAGTATCTGCCTGGAGTCCTATCAAACAACATAAAATCATTTTTTCTTAACTCTTCCCTTCCTATTTGTACAGATGGATTTCCTTTAAATTTCATAAAGTTGATTACCCCTCCAATTAGCTCTTGTCTCCTGGTATAGACATGAGCATGTAAAGAGCATGTGAAAGGTTGAATGATATCTGATTCAGCATGTCAAGAATTTTTTCAGGTGAAACTAAGATTTAGCAATGTTTGCTAAGACAGCTAGTTCCTGAGATAGCTCTTCAGCTTGACGGAGTTCCCAAACTCAGGGGAGAGGAGAAGAGAGAGGCCCTTTGCACCAGATCAGGCTCCTCCTCAGCCAGAAGCCTGCTGAGATCAGTCTTGCTAATATTTATACAGTTCTGAGCTGCTTTTTGGGCGGTGTATGCCAATCACCACAACCTAGGCCTTCATTATTGCCATCTCTCTACCTATTTTTAAATAAATCTCAACTGGGACATGCAGCACTTTATAGCTGTAGTACCTAGAGCTCTCCTGAGGCTTACATTTGAGCAGAGTGAGGGCGTGTAATTTGTTGTTGTCATATTTGGATGAGGAAAAATATATGGTGTAATTCTTGCATGGGTGGCTGCAGGTGAATGGGGAGAAGTGATTACTAATACTTTATCTCCCTTGTTCCCTGCCAATGCTTGCTTGCTACCCCCTCAAGCAGTACAGTATTGCAAGAGCAGTAAACAGCCTACCCTTCAGATGTGCTATTCAGTGATAAAGCAAGTCCTGCTTCTTCTGATCCTGGTGGTGTCACTTCTTCCTGGGATCATCTTCTTACTGGCCACAGTCCAGGCTGCTGTGAAGGCGGGCAATATCCTCTTCAGTGAGAAGAGGAACCTCAATTATTTGGGTTAGAAAAACAAATCTCTTCAGATGAAATTGGCCCAGTAGCCTCTTCAGCTGTAGAATGCATAAAGAACAAAAACTGCTTAACCCTTTACAGAAGCTCATTGTACTCTTCTAGATGTGGTGATGGTGTGAGTGCTGCTTACTCTTCATAGTCTGAAGCTGTCACAAAGCTGTATGTGGAAGCTTGTATCACAGCCTGCTTTAAGTCTATCAACTAAGAATGTCAGTTTGGTCTTTGTCCACTGTGAGAAGTCTGACCAGTAAGCCCGAGTATGTGTTTGTACTGAGGCCAGGTCTTAGACCAGACAGAAAGAGATCCAGAAAATCTGAGGAATCCAGATAAAACCGCAGATGTTTTCCCATAGCTTTTTCAATAACATGCCCTGAAAAGGAAGATGAGAGACTGCAATAATCTTGCCAATTATCTGTGTCAAAGATTTATTGTGCAAAGGTCTCATATTTGCTTATATTAAGACTGATACCCTGCTCCCTTCAGGGAGGCAGACAGCAAAAATAGACTGATATGTGTATTAGAAATTTTTTTAGCTTCAACTAGAGAGATGCACAAATCACAGCACGAAGTTGGCTGAATGCTTCCAGAGCCCCAGTGAAATGCAGCTGGAGGAAAGTTAACCTGGCAAGTGCTGTGTGAGTTTAGACTGGAGATGGCTACTTGTACAGAATGCTGTCAGTCCTAGACAGAGCATGAAAATATCAAAAAAGATATCCAAGATAACCAAAGATATCCAAGTTAACTTCACTTATGTTTAAAATGAAATACTGTAGAATTGGAAATACTCAAAACTTATTTCCCCAGGAAGTAAGGAAAGCATGTTTGCTTTTAGCAATAAGGAAGCAGTATGAGTATTCTGCAGCTCCTCACCAAAAACATGAAAAATAGTTCAGCATAGCTAGAATTGTCCTTTCTGCAGCTTGAAGGTAAACACACTAAAATGAACAGTTCTATAGTACAAAATATTGTGACAAAGCTGTCAACCTGAGAGTGAGCAGCCTGTGTTAAGATCAGTCATTAATACCTTTCTGCTTGGGTGTGGGGGTTAAATGTATGTATAATACTGGGGAGGAAGGGAAGTGCTTTGGTGGAAAACGGGATTTTGTATCTTGCTGGGGAGACTCATACCAACAGTCCAGGGCAGCATCAAGACACCTGTAAACATTCTTCTTCTTTTGAAGACTCCACTGTCCTTGCTTCCCATTCTGCATAATAAAACTGCAGACCTCATAGTAGCAACCTGACAGCTTAGAGATCTTTCCCTTTGCTAAAAGAAAGACAGGCTGGGGAAGGGTCTTGAGCACAAGTCTGAGGAGCAGCTGAAGGAACTGGGGTTGTTCAGTCTGGAGGAAAGGAGGCTCAGGGTGACCTCATGGCTCTCAACTCCCTGAAAGGAGGCTGTAGCCAGGTGGTGGTTGGACTCTTCTTTCAGGTAACAAGTGACAGCACAAAAGGAAGTGGCCTAAAGTTGCACCAGTGGAGGCTTAGATTGGATATTAGGAAAAAAATTTCACTGAAATTGTTGCCAAGTATTGGAACAGTCTTCCCAGGAAAGTGGTTGAGTCACCATTCCTGGAGGCATTTAAAAGATGTGTAGATATGGTGTTTAGGAACATGGTTTAGTGGAGAACTTGGCAGCGCTGGGTAAATGGTTGGACTTGATTATAGAGGTCTTTTCCAAACTAAATGATTTTGTTCTATGATTCCTTGTAGAGCTCAGCAGGAGAGGTTCTGCTGGGAACATCATACAAACCACATCTGTCACTTCAGTATGGAAAATATGCCTGACCTGTGTAAACAGATTTTCATGCAAAAGCAGGTTTTCATGCTAATATGTAGTAGTGTTGCTGGGTAGTTCAGCAGTAGTGATAAAATGCAGTATCTTACTCCCAAGCTATTGGGAGGCATGTGAACTGTACTTGAAGAGTCTAGAAAACATTTCACACTAACAACTTACTAGTGTATGAAGTGGTGTTGCCTAGTGTTGATCTGTGTAGCAGATTAGGCCAGAACCCAACTCTGAACATCTCTGGAGATGGCAAGGTAGGCCTGTAGAAGGAGACATGTCAGTTCAGTGAATGGCAGTGCTGTAGAGATGCTTGACCTATTTTTCTTTCCTCTCAAAGTTCAGCAGTCGGCACCTAGATTACTGCTACAATTTTTAAGAAAGGCACAAGTAATTACTGTAAACAAATCCTGTCTGCAGAAATCGGAAGGTATATTCTTCTGAAAGTTGTCACTGACAGATGATGGCATTAGAGTTAACCATGGTGCCACTAACAAGGGTCCTTCCTTCTTGCCTCACACAAGCATTTTGGCTTAGAAGCGTTTCTCTGTAGCACTTCCAACTCCTGACACAAACAGTTCATGCATCTTGTCTGTTGTAGGAAGGTTTTTATCATATATTTAGACTGTCATATTAACTGTTTTTTTGAGGCAGGAGTGAAGAGCAGAGAATTGGTTTCATACCAGCAAAAGGGAAATTCCTATCCTGAAGCTTTTATGCATAGCAGCTTCTTCAGTTTGTGATCCAGAAAGATTTTGGTAGTGGTCAAAACTTCTCTTCTACTGCCTGTGCTGTCCCAAAAGGCTATAACTGCCTGACAGTCCAAGAAAGCATTGTCCAGCACTTTCCTTAGAGGGCTAAGCTGGCTGGCACACTTTTTTCTTGTTTAGCAGGATTGGGTTATTTTACTCTGAATGTAAAACTTGCCTTGTATTTAATGTGTCTGTCTGGGTCACTGTGGAATACACCAAGGTGCGTTTGGCACTTGAAGCAGTGAGTATTAAGCCAAGCCTGGGATCCTTATGATGGCAACAGCATCCTACTGAAGGGCTGTTCAGAAGACTCCCTGCTGGTCTGCTGAAGTAAGAGTTAATATTTATAGATGGTGTTTTTAGGAGTTATTGTCTGACCTGTATAAAGCTGAGTCTCTGAAACTACTTGTCTGTAGATCAGATGCATATGATCTTAATGGCAAGTAACTGCATGTGTTGGTAGGTGGACATCACTACTGCAGTGATTTGTAGGGGGAGTGAATAGCACCTCATGGCAATTAAATGAATAGTTAATTTATCAGCTGAATAGTTTGCTTCTGGTAAGGAGAATATGTCTTCATTGTTGCCTCTTACTCTATAGGTTAGAAGTCCAGGGATAACACATCCTCTGTGATGTTAGGAAAATCCTTTCTTTTTAACAGTACTGGGATAATGTTAGTAATAAATGTAAGAGAGCTGCTGCTGCTTTTTCAAGCTACACTATTACTCTGTGTAGCAGATTAGGCTGGAACTCAGCTCTCAACATCTCTGGAGATGGCAAGGTAGGCCTGTAGAAGGAGACATGTCAGTTCAGTCCCCAGACAGGGCTTCAGAAACTGCTTTGGCACTGGAGTGCTGATGATAGTACATGTAAAGCTGCATGAAGTTGGGAGAAGGTCCTGATGCAACCATCTTCGGTTTAGCATTGTCTTTGGATCATAAAGAGGAAAAAATATAGTTAAGGAAAGTGAGCCCCTGAGTTTTCAGTACCTCCTATTTTAATATCCCTTCTGTGCAATGGAATTTCAGACTTGGCATTCATTTAGTATGTGTCTCCTGATGGGCAGCCAGCCCTTGATAGGTTTTGAACTAATGAGATCAGCTATTTCTAATATCTACTTCTTGGTTCTGCTGTTGGCAGCAATTACACCAAACATAATGAGGGCTGGATGCCAGCTTCAATTTGAATGCCTCTTTCAGCATTTTTGAGGAATTCATTTAGGGACCATAGTTTGTAGAGCTATCGAGTTATAATGGGTGGCATGCTCCATCCTGGAAGATCTACAAGGACAAATAATTTGTGATGGAAGAAGTGCCTTTGCATAGTTTTATTTCCATTAGAGCTCAACCCAGAAGATGTGTCTGCCAAACTGTTTGTAAACTGTGTTCAATCATGGTGTCTCCTTATGAGATGATCTTCTAGCAGAATAGAGCAGTTCCGGTGGTGGTGGTGGTCTTCATACACCTTTTGCTTTGTCTACAGTAATAGTGTCTAATAAACATGGCTGTGACTGAATGGTGACAATGGTTGTGGTGTAGACTAGAAGGTGGGAAAAGGGTCTCTGTTATCTTGTGTGCATGCCAAAGGGAATGGTACTTACATAGGAGACAGTGTTCAGGAGGTCATGAAGCCATCTTTGGTAAGACTTGATACCTGCTTTTTGCAGTAGGCAGCCTCTGGCATGGCTAGAAACTTCTGTCTTATTTCAGAGAAAGGGTTATGGGAGGAGAATATGTCATTTTCATCTTGCTAGTTTGGGGTATTTAGAAAGCTTATCAACTAACTTGGAGACTCCACTTAGAGTAGGTCCCCACTCTTTAGCAATAACACTGTGCAAGTAAAGGGCAAAATACTTTGAGTTGTTCAGAGAAAGATAGCATGAGAAGGTCCTTAAGAGAAGGGGGGTCTAGATGAATTGATGTCAGGTGATGAAGACAAATTTTAGGGGCCTTGTACTTAAAAGGAAGCCTTTTATACCTATCAGGCTACCGATAGAAAATCAGCAGAGAATTTGTATTTCACCAAACAGCTTTATTCCTTTAAGAATGCTTCAGCAAAACTTAGTTGTCTTCAGATATGCTTGCAGTTCATGTGTAAGCCCACAGAGCATACCAAAGACTCACGGGAAAAGGTTATATCAAGAGAGTGTTCCAGTACTCCAAGCTCTTGGAAATGGGGAAGAATTCCTAAGATGACTACATAGCCAGTCCTGCTAAAAGTAGTACAAGAGGTAAAACAGGCTCAAGGAAGTATTATTTCACAACCACCTTCTGTAAGTGGCTAGTCTTCCCATGCCAGTGCACAGGACTCTTCAAATCCTGGAAGTGATTTTTAGTGGTTTATACAGTGGAGGGTAAGAAAGTGTGTACTTCAGTCTCCATGAATTGAGAGGACTGGGCCAAAGAGGGAAGAGTCTGTGTAATGGTTTGAAGCATTCAGTATGCTAATATTTGGGTAAGTGTGGGGATCACTCTTCCTGGAAATCTTGCTTGAGTTACTGTCCTTTGTTGAAATATACACCTGGTATTACTTCAACCCTTCTGCTTTTCTGAGAGCTTCTTTTGAGAAAAACATATCCCATTACAATGGAATAGCTGACTTCTCACCTAGTGACAGCACAAAGTTGTAATCCTGCTACATTTGCTAGTGGAGATCAATGGCTTCAGCTATCATTATGACAGACTAAAGTAGGGGATATAGTTAGTAAGAGATTAACTTGGCATAAGGTATACAGTAGGATGTTTTGAGTTTGAGTTACGCTGAATAAGCACAGGACTCCTTAAACTGGAAAGACTGGATCATGTTATTAAACAATACAATTTGGTGAAGACAAGATTCCACATTTTATATTAATGGAAGTTTTGCTGTTAGTGTCTTGGGACAAGAAGTTCATTGCCTGACTGTTCAAACATTTGGATTTTCTATCTGGTTCAACATGCATAGTAGCAAAGGTAAAGAGAAGAAATAGTCCAAATTAAACATACCTTTTCTTGTCAGTGTGTTTGACAAATTAAATTTAATCTTAAATTTGTTCTAGGCTTACATGTTACCTTGGCTGCAGGGATACTCTGTAGGAGAGTGAGTTTTGACAGAAACTGAAGTAATTACTTCAAATAAATTAAATCAGTCTCTACCTTAATACTGCCAGATTTACTAGAAATATTTAGAAGTTGTGTGTTAGAAATGTGAGACTTAAGATGAAGTTTCTGTTTTGTTTAAGTTTTGGTTTCCTCCTCTGTTCACATGATTGGTGTACTGAACTTACGAGATGCTTAAACTTACGACTTAGAAAACTGAAGTTGGATTTTATGAGGGTGGTACAGGCATGTGGATATAAAAATTGTGTGGGAGAAGGAATTATTTTAAAGTATGAAATGAATTTCTTGTCCCTGGTGTCTCTGGCATTTTCTTTCCCACAAGTAAATGTAGTTAAGCACTTTGATAAACTTTCATGTCAAAAGCAAAAAGAGAAAATTTTAAAAGTTCACTCCCTGACAGCAATAACTTTTTTTGCTGTGAAAAACAAAATCGCAAGAAGAAAAAACCCAGAGAGCTGCTCTGAGATGAAGTGCAATTCTAAGAGTTTCTCCCAAACACTTGGTGGGCTTTTCTCCCAAACCTTTGGTGGGCACTTCAAATACTCCATTAGGCAGCTTCTCTGGACCTCGTACCTCATCTTCTAAAAATAGAACACAGCTGCTGCATCATGTTTGGGGATCAGTTTGCAAAGAAAATGAAAGTATTATTTTCTAGCTAAAAGTAATTTAACAGATGAAGCTTAATACTTGAGTGCTGCTCTTCATTGTAGTGGCTTAGACAATGCAAGGATTGAGGGAAGGGATAGTATGAGGGAAGGAAAGATCACTGTAGAAAAATTAGGTTTCTAGCCTGTA